TCCATTACTTCATCTCAATTTATTACCACATATTAAGATTTCATAATTAAATATGTGTGACAATCTACCGGAAATCCTTGAGCCTTAGGCTTAATGTGACACACAAAGTGAATGTGAATATTGTAGTCATCTAATAAAGTGTAACTAGCACAACATCTACTATTATTGTTCAAGGGCGGATGTTGTTTAGTACATGACACTGATATATCTTTAATTGCAATAGTGAGATGCAACAAAACATGATCGGAATTGGGGGAAAACATGCTGCCATTTACCATAATGAGCTGATCAATATGCCATTGGGATTTGAAAAAGATCAGGAATCTATTTCTTACAGCAAGATGTCCAATGAGGTTGCCTATACATGAGGTACTGTACCTCCAAAGTCAGGTATCTTCTCTAGGTGAGAGGCAATCATATACCAGCCATTCCAATGTAGTTATCCCAACTGTGCTATTTTAAGGATGAACAATGAAGGAAAGAGGGAACAGATGGTTCTCCTCTCCTGCATTGATCTTTAAAATAAAACATAATACAGGCTTCCCTCACTAGCTAGAATGCAACCCTAAAACACTTTAAAGAGATAAAAGCTGTCAACAATGTAATTATCTGTGTAAATGTGCATAATATAAGAACGTTTAATTTATGGAATACACAACCAGAAAGAAATGGAGTATGGAAGGAGGCCCCCGAGATATTTGATTTGCAAGGTTATTAGGGAATGAAGTATTTAAACACACAAGCAATTTATCAATAATTTTTATACTGTATTTACTGCAGTTATTATTGTTGCTCTTGATTTGTAACTTAGCCATCAGCAGCTTTCTGTATAGATTTAAATGATGTTGTCTGGTATTTTTTTAAATTTCACTTTTAATCATATATGATGGTACATTGCCTCGAGAACTCTTGCTTTACAGTTGATCAATGGCTAAATGCAAACTTTGACTTAGGGCATTTAATATAGAACATAAATTCTGTAACAATGCCCAAGTGATGCAAACAGCACACTGTGGATCAAAAGTAAGTTGACAAAATGGGATGATGGATGATGGAAGGCCTTGTTTTGCTACTTGCCGTCTTCTCCACAAGATTGCAAATCACCACTTATAAAGTGTCAGCTCTACTTGTATTAACAGAGCTTCAAACAGTATGGATATTCTGTGAGGGAGACATATTTCCTTTCCCCTCCTCCCCCCCAGATAGTCAGGGAAATATTGCGACAGATCAGAAAGTATGATATGCTTGTGGAGAAAAGGAAGAGGAGGATGACAACTATGGAATCTGAACTGAACTAAGAAATAAATGCTCACAGATTTCTTAAAAAGAAAAAAAAATGCCCTGTGTTAAAAAAGCAGTTCTACTTTTAACAGGCATGTCCAAAAAGCCCCTTGTTAGAAGCACTATTGCCTTCATTCTCTGCACATAGATTTTGCAGCAATCTGCCCAGGAGTAAAATGCTCTGAAGTCTGCTACTGGTTTGCTTTCCTACTGATTTGCTGTGCATGCGCATGCGCAATGCGTGCCAAATGCATGCTTTGCGCACATGCACACTGCAAGCGCTACCATGCAGCACTGAAAAAAGAGGATTAAGAAGCCTTGTCTACGGTAAGTAGAACAGCGAGGGTGGGGAACAGCTGTGCCGTGCGATTTAGATTTGCTAGAAAGCAAGATTTCCTGGTTTCTAGTGAATATAAATTGTGCGGCAGAGCTGATCGTTGGAAATACCGGTTCATTCGAACTGGTAGCATTTTTTAACTATCAGTTCGCCCAAACTGGTAGCTGTTATTACTACTGATTTGGGCGAACTGGTCCGATCTAGTAGCATTTCACCTCTGAATCTGCCCACCATATACTGGATCCCGGTCAGGACAGGCCCCTCGGTTTGCCTCGACATTCCTTTTCTTCCATGCCATGTCTGAACATTGATGACAGATGTGAGAGTTAAGATCTCTTCTGATATCAAGGCAGAAAGCTTTAAAGATGACTCAGAATAAAATTTCATCAACTGTAGTAGAACACTGTTCCAAAAACAAAGAAAAAAAAAAGGTGTAACTTTTAACCTTGGGCAGTATTTGGGAGAAAGCTTTAAAACAAGCTAGTCTCTACTCCAGGCCAAAGCAAGCAAACAAATGTAGATTTATTGCAGAGATGGGAACTGATATGCTCCAATCATTTTAAAACTCTTTTGAGTCACAGCCCTGTTTTGAAAAGTGCACCGTTCCTCCCCTGGGCTTCCAGGTGCATTTCTATCTTTCCTTTCTCAGCCAGTGAGAAACACCGGTTATGGCACTTCTCACCTTATTTCCCCCACTCATTCTTTAGGGTTAGATTAAAGATAAATTAAAAATTAAAAAAAGAGAAAATGGGATACCAGGCAAAATATTTTTGCACAAATCCCACCACTCGTACAGAAAGCTAGGATAGAGAAAAGAAAAATATGACACGTAAAGAAGAAATGAGAAGAAGCACCAAGTGTTAGAAAGGCCTGCTAGGAAAGGAAAAACAATGCTTTCATGTTGGCTTTGGCTGCATGTAATGTTGATAAAGCCGGACTGAAAGGCAGGTGGTCCATTTACTCTGCAGTCATATGAAGATTTGGAATACAGCACTTGTGTTTAGTTACTCTGGCTATTTCTAGTTTGCTTGGTTTGGCAATCATGGTGCAGCTTCAAATTACACACTTACAAAATGTGGACTGACACCTTTCCTGATAAGACAGTAGGAGGTTCTCTAAACCAGGTTTGTGAATTTGAATGCTCTAGTGTGCAATCTGTTATAAAATGTTAGGCTGCTGGCACTTACCATATGTTCAAAAGTAAATCCTACTGCAGACCTCATGACATAAACCTCTGACCTAGTGTTTGGGGTACCTTGCTTCTTCCCCCCCCGGTGAACATTGTAGATCTTCATGTGCTATTTTGGTTAATCCTACACAAGGTATTACACAATTGGGATTATTTTCTCTCTGAAGTTGCCTAATCCTTTTTAACAGACTTTCTAGTTTGGTAGTCATATTTATTAGTTTGTGAAAATGCTTTATACAGTACTGTGTCTTTCCATGTGAGTTTACTGCTTGTGTGAAAAGAAAGGTCAAGAACTGAAGTTTTAGGAAGTGTTGCCACAAAGAAGAGGGAGTCAAGCTATTCTCCAAAGCACCTGAGGGCAGGACAAGAAGCAATGGATGGAAACTAATCAAGGAGAGAACCAATCTAGAACTAAGGAGGAATTTCCTGACAGTTAGAACAATTAATCAGTGGAACAACTTGCCTCCAGAAGTTGTGAATGCTCCAACACTGGAAGTTTTAAAGAAGATGTTGGATAACCATTTGTCTGAAATGGTATGGGATTTCCTGCCTGAGCAGGGGGTTGGACTAGAAGACCTTCAAGGTCCCTTCCGACTCTGTTGTTCTGTTCTGTTCTAGTCTAGTCTAGTCTCCAATGCAGCACCTCTGATGGGACATACAGGGAATAAAATGAAAGTACATATGATCTGATAGGCACTTTTAAAAATAAACCTGTAATGAAAGGGTCTGAGATGCAGCTGGGAATCTTATGGCTATGGTCATCCTTGTAAATTTATGTAGGATTACAGCTTTAACATCTGTTGCCTAGGAAGATAGCAATACTGTGTACAAAACATGTACCGGAATGTGACATCCTGAAACAGAAAAAGTTGGAAAAGGCAGCTATGAAATTAATAGGTACCTGTACTGTGACAAGAACTTTTAGCATATACCAAACCATTCTTAAATGTCTCATGACAGAGATCTACTCTGGTTGCATTCTGTGTTTGTTCCCAGAAAGATGTAGTTAGGACCATTTGAGCTTAAATAAAACTGTTATTTACTTTGTGCTGCTTTTAAACATAAGCACACTTGCAACTTGATTTGTGCTGAGCAAGGCATATGTCTGCTGACTAATTTCATTGGTCCTTATGAGGAAGTAAAGACAGTTGAGTGCCAAAAGTAGTATAGCATTTGTGTAAACACTTTTAGGAATGCGGCCTAAGACTAAATTCTTAGTCAGCATCCTTATTGTTTGCCAAGAAATAATTAGGTTGGAGGAGAGCTGGCATTTTGCTTACCTATAGTTTACTTGATTGGGGCCACAGAACACTGAAATTGCAAGGCATGGTTTACAAGCCGTTTGTTCACATATTATGTTAAGTCAAAACCAGGCACATCATACAAAGGCTTAGCAGGTTGTGCAAACTTAGGCAGATGTACAGTACTTGAATTAGTGCAATGACCAAATTTGGCTTTCAGGTACAGGTAGTCCTTGAGTTACGACCACAACTGAGCTCAACATTTATGTTGCTAAGTGAAACATTTGTTAAGTGAGTTTTGCCCCATTTTAGACTTTCCACTTAAGTGAATCATTGCAGTTGTTAAGTCAGTAACACGGTTGTTACCTGAATCTACCTTCCCCACTGCCTTTGCGTGGTTGCAAAAGCTGATCACAAGATCCCAGAACACTGCAACCATCACAAACAGGAGCCATTCGCTAAGCATCTGAATTTTAATACAGGTGGCCATGGGGATGCTGCAATGGCCGTAAGTGTAAAAAATGGTCATAAGTCCCTTTTTTTCAGTGCCATTGTAACTTTGAACGGTCGCTAAATGAACTGTTGTTAAGTTGAGGACTACCTGTATGGAGGAAGCCCTAGATGCCACTGATTTCAGAATTCGTTTCAGGGTGGTTTTAAAAAGGGGGGGTGTTATTTTCCTGTAATGCCATACATTTCTTATAGCACAGGGTCCTTGCCGAGGTTTGGAGAAAAAGTTGGAAAAACCCCACCTCATAATGCCGTTAATAATCTATTGTGGAGAGCTCAGATGGGCCCGTGTAAAAACACGTCCAGGTGTCCCGGAAACAAAACGGGCAAGGTCTCCAAACCGGTTCAATTTTTGCTTGCCGACTCAAGCAAGCCAACCAGCCAGCCAGCCAAAGAGGGCGGGCAAAGCGTTCGCCGGGTTTCTCCCCCGCCGTGAAAAGGAGCCGCCTTCTTCCTGCAGGAGCTCTGCGGTCGAGAAATCCATTCCCCCATTTCCCGCCCGCCGAAATCGACGCCGTGAAATCGAGGGAGGCCGGGTCCGTCGGTCCCCTGGTGGTTTTTCGTCTCCGTTTCGGCGTTTGGACCGCCTAGGCCACCATAGCCTCCGCGGAATCCGGCTGGCTGGCTGGCTGGCGGGGACGGCGCTGTCAAGAGCCAGGCGAGCTCCAGAGGGATACTAACCGGGGAGAGGGCAGCAGGCGGCAGAGAGGGGTCGCCAGCTCGGGACTCGCCGAGAAGAAACAGCTGAGCGAAGAAGAGGAGGAGGAGGAGCCCAAGGAGAGGGACGGACGATCCTGGGGCTGGAGCCCAGGCTCGGCGGGGAGGCGGGGATCGCTCTGGCAGCCTTCCCGGCACGGGTGATCCGCCGACTTCGCCAAAGCCGTTGCTGTCAGCGGGCGTGAGGAGCGGAGAGGACCGGCTGCGAGCGAGCGAACGAACGAACGAGCAGCCTCGAAAAGCGAGGGAAGGAAGGCAGCCCTTCTCTCTCTCCCCCCCCCACCCCACGTCTCTCCTCCCCCAGCTCCGGAGCCTCTTAGCGGGAGCTCCCCAGCTTCCCCCCTTGCAGCTTGGAGGGTTCCCGGTGGCCCCCGCCTTCCCCGCTTGGAAAGCCCGCAAAGCCGAGCCGAGACGGCGAGAGAAGAAAGACGGCAGGCGGGAGCCCCAAGGAAGGCAAGGGGGCTTTTTTTGAATGCGACCGTGGCTGGTGAAAGGACGAAACCCGGCTGCATGGACGAGAACTGGGAGAGAGGGCTTTTTTTTTTTTTTTACCCTTCCTCTACGGAGCGCCGATGCCCCCTTTCCAAGGTAACAAAGGTTGACTCCCCCCCCCGAAGGGGCTTCTTTTAAAGCGAGAAGGTGCGTTTCGTGGTTTTTAAGGCAGAAAACGGGTCTGACTGAATTACTCGCGGATTTCTCCATCCCTCCGTCATCCTATTGTTGGCCTGAAAAAAGCTGGAAGGGCTTCTGCATTAGTCTTACATATTCGACCTCCCTTTGTGCATTCCTCGCCTTCGCGGATGGGAAAGAGGTTTTAAGCAAACTTCTCTTCGGAAATCTCCGTCCGGTTCCTTTAATTGACTTCACAGTCATTGAGAAGGTTGTGTGTGTGTGTGAAGCGGGGGGGGGGCGGTATTGAAGCTCTGATACTCTAGGATGGTCGCGGTTCTCTTTTTAATGCGTAAGTGAAGTGTTTGCAGCAGTGAATCGTCTTTAGGCTTGACAAATGCCCACTGTATTAAAAGCTGAGCTCAAAACCCATGGGTTGTTTGAATTGCCAACGGTATTATTTTGGTTTACTTGGCTTAGGTGTCTGATTTCTGTTTCTTAAAAGGGTAATCCTTAAGCATTTGCAACAGGGTAACAGTGTGGTGTTAACTCCACGCAGAGGAGTACCGAGGAATTTCCTGGGAAATTTGCAAAGCACTCACCTCTAAAATAAGGATTCTCCTGCCAAGTATTCTGGTTTGACTATTAAGCTACCTTTATAAATATCTATAATGAACTACATCAGGAATTAAGGAATGCAATTTTCTACATATGCGTGGCTTTGAGTTACAGATTAAGATTAGATTAAATTGGATTTGGAATTGGACCCCATGTTTGGTGAAATGTGCTTGATGCATTTGTGGTTCAGTGTCTGAACATGTCCATACAATTGTTAGGAGGAATTGTCCCTCACCTCCAGAGCTGGAGCAGTGAGCAGTAATCTTTGTATTACAGTCACACGCACACACCCATTTTTAAAACAGCCACGTTTTGTAAACTGTAGGCAGTGTGGGAATGGTGGTGACTTTACATGAATTCTGAATAACATGCTTGTAAGATTGTATTATTGGTTTACCTTGGTTCTCTCCCCCCCCCTTCATTTCTCAAAGGTCTATTTTGATCTTGGTCTTTTGAACTAAGAAGAACTGTGCATAGCCATATTGCAGAGCGGATGTGTCCTGGAGTGGAAGCCCTATGATGAAGTAAGAGAAGAAGGTGTGGAGTCTCCTGAAAGTGATGTGAAATCCAGCCCCCAAGAACTTCTTTGTGGAAGGCATTTGAGAGGGGACTGTGTTTTCTCCCCGCTAAGACTATGATGTCGGTTGAAAGCTCCACAATAACGAGCAGAATAAAAAATTTACTTCGGTCTCCGTCTATCAAATTGAGAAGAAGCAAACCAGGGACCAAGCGGGGAAATATCAGCACTAAGGCAAGTTCAACAACTGGGCCTGGTCTCTTTTGTTATCATTCTTCACTTGTTCATTCTTCACAAGGGATTACATTATGTTGCATTTGGTGGTGGTGAAGATGATAGCAGAAGTTGTCATATCTGCTTTCCTGATTTGGGTATATAATACAGGTGGGGAAGTCTCGATTGCTGCTTTGAAGGTACCTAAAGGTTGGCTTTCTAAAGCCAGGTGATATTGCAGGGGATGTTGGGCTAGAAAAAGTAGAAGCAAGCAAGGGGATGATCAAGAATGTGACCGCATTCAAAAAGGGGCGGTATTTAATTTTTTCAGCAATTTGAAGTTGTCCTGTTCCTAATGCATTCTGAGTTGCAAACCGTAAAACGGTAACAAAACCATTAAAACCAAGCAATAGACACAGTATGGGTTCTATAAGAGCTATCAAAAGTTTTCTGCTTCTTCCATACAGAAATGTTTTCTAAGTGTCTTCTTAGTTGAGCAAAATTTTAATTTGTACATCTTGTGTTTTTGGAATTGCTTCTGAGGAACAACAGTATGTGATAGATGCCTAATGCTGTTTTATTACTTGACACACAACGTTTTCATTTTAGCTCAGGGTTAAAAGGAACTAAACATTATGGCAATACTTCCTGAAATACTGCTATTGGAGTTGTGTGACTTCCTCCTTTTTTGGCATTTTTCAAATAATGGACTTTTGCCCAATATTTTCCCCCCCATTCTGTGATTTTTTCTTTTTGGTCTGAGAACATTGATGGAGAGAGACAACAATTATTTTGTTCTCTTTTAGGAGATAATATTTAATTTGTGTACTCAATATAAGGGAAGACTGAGCTTGACCATACTTTGAGTAACCATTAAAATATGAGTCTGGAGGCCTACTTACCTGAGAGCTCAGCCATTGCCTAATCACATGCCTTTGCAGAAAAAAATAGCAAATCCATCCATTTTTGCATCCAAAAATCAAATATAATTGCACATAATTATAAGTAATCACTCCGGAGGGTTTGCCTAAAGCATGTGATACTAGCTGAATTTGAGCCTATGAAGAAATGTGGAGAAACCTCACTAGATGAGATAGGATTTACTCCAGAAGATTGGTGTTGCTTTTGTAATTCTGGGCACTATGAACACTTAAGTCCCGCAAATGGGAGAGTATGAAATAGAAGCATGAGAAAGAGGACTTGGTTTTGGAGGTTAACCCTTGTTTTTCTGTACTCATGTTAATATGTTTTCCACATCTTTTCGGGAAGGACTTTTTGTATGTGCAAAAACCGTTGCAATATCAGAGATGATGTACGGAGGTGAATGGGTGTGCAGCTGTAGAATATGAATTGTTAGAGATAAGGCTCAGCTTTCAATATCTGTTTCTATAGGAATGACAAATAGCTGAACTTTGCTTACCATGCCCATGTCCTGGTGTTTTTTTTTTAAATAAATTCTGTGTTTGTTGGGATATGAACAAACACAGCATTGAATTAATTCCATAAGTTTTGTCCGATGCTAGAATGAAAGTGAATTGCTTTATTCCTCTTAATTTTAGATATGTCTTTTTTGGGCTATGGTAGCAAGATAAAAGGAGCAAGGATAGAATGAAGAAATGTAAAGTAGAATTCAAATGATATGAGTCTTGATTTCCTTCCTGGAAAGGGGGAAACAAATGAATATATGGATGCATGTGAAACATCCAAGTTAATTTTTCTTGTTTGATGGCTGAAATGGTAAAATTGAGAAGAGGGGTTTTTTTGCAATATACTTACATTTGTGTGGTTAAGACATGGTGGAATTTAAAACTGTGTAGGAGTATATTATAGATATTCATTGGGGAAATAATCTCCAACATATGATAGTTAAGTCAGCATCCATCTCCTCTAACCTGTTTTGTAAATGAGTGGTATAAGAGGTAGAGCTACATTGTGGGGATTGGGGTCCTTGAGGAAATCAGTGCATTCCTTCCTTCCCTAGCTATTGGTCACTTGGCCTTTCTAATAATACCTGCCACTGACAGGTAAACATAACTTATTAAAGGCTGTCTTAAAATACTAAAATACAGGTAGTCCCCAACTTATGACCATTTAGTAAGCATTTGAAGTTACAATGGTGCTGAAAAAAGTAACGTGTAACTGGCCTTGCACTTATAACCGTCGCAGTGCCCCCATATTGAAGGATGTAGGAAAACTATTTGTACAGTATTGGCAATGAGAAACAGGTTTAGAAACACACAGTATGTATGGCTTATACATTATTGTTATACCTCCAAGTGCTGTAAACAGCTTTTTTTTTCTTAATTCTGTTCCCCAGGTAACTTATAAACTACAAATGTATGATGACAGAATGGTTCAAATAAATATAATTGGTTTCTACACACTAAGCTAAGAATGTAATTTATCCCATTCAAGATGCAATATTCATTTTATAACCCTTGTGGGGAAAAAGTAGCTTCTTTTAAATCACAATTTTTTCTCAGATTGTCATATGTGATTGTCATATGTTCAGGATGAATGATTGTGTCTTTGTCAGAAAAAAAAAAAGTCCAGCCAATATACGGCTTTGGTTTTAGAGAAGTTGTGGCTTGAAAAATACTTTCAGATTTGATTGATTTCAAGTTATTCTGGGTTAGGCTTGGTAACAGCATTTTTTCTGTTTGTATTCCTTCTTTGTGTCCAAGTGCTGTGGCTTGTTTAGAAAAGGGGCTGAGCTGCTTTCTAATTAATGGCTGGGTCTGCAGTGGCAAACTTCCCAGTCAATGTGGTCCTTTTTTTTGTCTAAAGATTTTTTGGGAGAAACCTGTTGGCAGAGAAGGAAGATAAAGTGTAAGGCTGAGGCCAGCTGGCTGTCTTCACCAGTACTGTCCTGTAATGCTAAGAAGTGAAATGAACTAGGATTGCGCTTCTGAACCTAGCTTAAACTGGATTGTTCAATGACCACAGTGACTCCTGTATGATTAAACTGTAAGAAATGGGTGTTAATTGAAACAAACCCTTTCAGGCTAGTTGAAAATGTCTGAAAAGCTGTTTTTGATCAGAGTAAGTCAATCTCCTGAAAGTACGTCAGTGGTTTGGAAAGCAAATTCTCTGAAGTCTCAGAGCATTTTCAAGCTGTAGCATGGCCCTTCCCAGCCTGGTGCTTTCCAGATGTGTAAGATTTCAGCTTTGATAGCTCCCAGCAAGCATGGCTCTTTGGAAAAATTGGCAGCTTTGGTAGGTACAGGTTTTAAAACACTGTTTTAAAGCAAAGACTGTCTAAGTGTAAACAAGCCATGGTTCCTTCTCCACAACTCAAGAAAACAGAATGTGTTTCTGAAGCCCTTACTGTATTTCAAGACTTTTGATTGGGCCCGAAGTCCTTACTGTATCTCCAGTTCCTCTTCTAGGCCTGTTTGCAATCTGCTCTATAATTACAGCTGGATAAGATAAGCGTCCATGGAGAGGCCACGACACAAACGTGAGGGAACTAGTAGAATTTTTTGACTATTTCTTTGCAGCTGAAAGATAAGTGTTATCATGGGCCTATTCCATATGGCTTTTTTTCTGAATTACTGTATTTTTAAAATTTTATGTGGAGGGAGCATTCCAAAATTGTGCAATCCACCCCCCACCCCCACCCCGCCGAAGAAATACATTTTATACTGCTGGTAAACGTATTGATGTGAAAAACAATGAATGAGGCAGGTGGCAAAAGTCTGTCATTCAACTAAGTGAAATTCCATATTGTCTTCTTTCATAGATGAACTTTAAATTCACAGTGTTTTCTTTCTTGTACATAGCAGAGTTCTCAACCAGAATTAAAAAAAGAAAAAAAATATTGCCATATTTTGTCACTCCATCCAGCAACCTTGTTGATATTTCCATGTATAGATTTCTTTTGAGTTCAAAATGTGGTAGCGATGGATAATTTTCTTAAGAACTCTTCAGACAATTATATACACAGCAGCTCACTCATAAATGTAAAGCTTGCAAATACCTAAACGTGCAACAAGGGCCCGCCATACCATTTTAGTAAAGAAGTACTATGGGATGTCAAGGTACTAGGACTAGGAAACCAAAATCATAAATGCTAGTACTACTTTTATTATATGGCTACAATAACAGAATCTTCCATGCCTGAAGTACTTCTTCTTTCTCTATCTTCATAAGAATAAGCAGGGTCTTATCTGAGATACTTGCTGTCAACCCTGAAGCTGACCTGACCAGAGCCATATTGGAGCTTCAGTGTTGCCACACTGGAACTGAGGGAAAGGGAGGGAGGATTAGAGATAGAGGGGTTTGTGTAGGCAAAATAACATACTTTCTCTTGAGAACCAAGGACACACCGTGGAAGAAGGAGGGAGGTCACCAGACAACCAGGCAGCATCTTGATTGGACCATGTAATTGTTGGGGTTGTGGGAAAACTTTCTCTTTTAACTACCATATTTTTCGGAGTATAAGGCGCACCCTTTTCCCCCCTAAAAGAGGGTGGAAATGTTGGTGTGTCTTATACACAGAATGCAGCCATTTTTGGCCTCCCGAAGCCCCGCCCCGCTCGTTCCATTTTTGTGAAAAACAGGCCCATTTTTTGCCCGTTTTTTGCAAAATCGGGCATTTTTGCCCTTCCCCAGCATCCAGGAGCACTCTGCAGGCCTCCCAAATCCTCTGTGTGCCTCATTTTTTGCCCGTTTTTACAAAAAACTGGGCGTGCAGTGGGTTTGGGAGGCCTGCAGAGTACTCTTGAGGGCCAGGAAGGGCAAAAACGTTTTTTTTTTTTAACTTACCTCTTTGAAATCTTGGTGTGTCTTATACACCGGTGCGTCTTATAGTCCGAAAAATATTGTAGTTGAAAACCGTGGGAACTTTTAGAGTCGGTTTTCGCCAGATATGTGCCAATATGACATTTCCAATAAAGCTATCCTTTGAGGAATCTGCCTTCCTTGGAGTTCTGCTTGCTATGGATCTATTACTTGGAACCCTGGCACTTGCTTGGAATATAGCTCTGCCCCAGATTCAGATTTCTTTTATTTCCCCAGTG